GAGCCATTCAGAGCTCGGCGTTCTGACGTCACCACAACCCATGCAAAAGAAGCAGACGAACTTGCGTTCCGCATATATTCAGTTACATTTTTTTTAGGAACGTGCGCAACTTGAACGTGTGCACACGATCTGTCGACGGAAGATGCTGCGTTTCCGTGGCCTGGACGGTTGCGGCGCGCGTCGCTGCAGAACAGGCGTCCGCCTTGTCCACCTCCGCTGCTCTGTCGCCGCCAGGATCGTGACGCGGGTGTGACGTCACCGTGCGCGTCCGGAATTCCAGGGACCGACTGAAGACGCAGTTAGCACACCGGTCGTAGCAACGCCCCGGACCTCGTATTTAAAACTAAAAATATGGCGATTTTTTTTTTTTTTTTGAACTTCGAGCGTAACGTTTGGCTAAAGTTCGACTGAATAAGTTGGACCATTATGAGCGTACGCGGAAATAAAAAAAACGAGCTGACGTCAACTGGCGCAATATTTATCGGATGTATTTTACTTCACATTAACGAGCTAACTAAATAAGCTAATGTTTATTCGCTTTTATACCGAGTAAAATTTATATTGAACTATACCGTGTAAATTCCTTGCAAGAAGAAGAAAAAGCTGTTGTAAGAATCGGGCAACACCGTTCAGAAATCGAACTTCAAAATTTAGCCAAAAGTTCGCGGCATCTATAGTTGAAGCGATACTTTCGTGATAAACCACACCTTCGAGCCTTATACATTGTTTCTCATTCTTTCCGAGGAAAAAAAATTAAAAAAAGGCAGGTTCCACTTGCAAGTTGCCGTACTTTCGGCGCCCTTGTCTACGTACATTTGACGCGTCCCCGTTTTCTCTTAATTTTGTTCTTTTAATTTTTGTGTAAAGCGGTAGCTTTTGCTTTTTATGTTTCATCTAGCGAAGACGTAAAGTCGATCTGTGAGATCGAGAGCGCTGAAACTTTTGATGGGCTGACAAACGGTGCTGGCCGCGAGGAACCAGAGCAAAGCAAGCTGATATGCGGGAAAAAAGGAACTAAAGACGTGGGGGTCATCACGGCGCTGCTGCCGGGTGTGTTGTCAGACTAGTCTGGTTTTCGAGCGTAGAGGCAGCGGCCGTGTCATCAACCGTGTCCTCGTTTCTCTTTCTGTTGTTTGTTTAGAGGCTAATGGGTTTCACGCGTTACTCACTGCCCCCCCCCCCCCCCCCCCCCCCCCAGCTCTGCAGGCCACGGCGAACTATTTAGATTGCGGCACCTCTGCCTTCCTCTCGAGTCAAAACTAAAACGTATACATGTGTAAAAAAAAAAAAAGAAGACCCGACCGAGAATTGTACAAAATTTAAAACGAGAGAAAATGGTTATTTAACAAAAGAAAAAAAAAAAAAAAAAACACAAACCACGCGTGTGTGTTTTTAGTGAGAAGTCGCAAATATTTCTTTAAGTAATCACAAATTTGCGATTGACGTGTATGTAGATATACTAATAACAAAAATATCGTGTAGAACGATTTTTGCGTGTTAGAAATTGTCGATTTTTTTCTTCGTGTGTCAGCATTTAAGATTTGAACACATGTGCGAGAGACGTAGGTTTACAAGGTTGAGTCATATGCTTGGTTTTATTCCGTTTCAGCAGATGGTTTAGAGGCCTACGCATCTAGGCCCCTTTCATGTATAGTATATAATACTGTATAGACGCATTTTCTGCCTCACCCACTTGGTGACGCATGGATAAATAGTTGTCTAGATTTTACGGCGGCTGATCTCCGCGTGTTTTACCGCGTTAGCTGTGCACTCTATTCCGTGTCTCTCGCGACGATTATTTTTTTAATTGTTGCGAGCTGATCAAGTTGGTAAAGATCCGAAAACGGGACAAAACAGCAAACAGCTTTCGACTCCTGGCGACGTGGGCGATCGATAGCGTCGCTGTGGTCGGCCTTCGACGATTGACCAAATGCTGACTATGACGTCAGCAAAAGATTTCTTACCGACGGCAATAAGAGTAATGTAAGAACTTCAATTTTGACGGTGTTTGGAGTGTTGCTTTCAGAGTGTAATGATTTCAAGCTTCCACCATGCTCATTACAAACACCATCTAACTTGTTGTCAAGTTAAACACCACCAAAACATCTCGTTGCTCACGTTGAACAGGCCAGTAGAAAAAGATGCATCAGCGGGCAGAGGGCGATTATTGGAAGGGTATATAGTCGTCGACGCCGGGCGTGGCCAGCTCCGAGGATCTCGTTATCGCTCCACAGCCAATGAGATCGCGACGTTCGCCGATAAGGACACCGAATAACCAATCACGATGCAGGAAGAGTGAACACACAGAATAAGCCGCGCCCTGCGTTCCTTAACGTGTCTGTGACTATAGCAATCGCATTTAATGATGTTCAGGAGAATTCAGCAGCCCCTTCCCGGTTGGCAGAAACCATTGGTCGTGACTCGTTTCCCTACAAAAGCATTTTTTCTCCCGTCAATCACTCACAAAGGTTCAGGGTTGCAAACTCTGTGCACCAACACACTAGGTGCCCACACCGGGTGTGGGCATTGCGCCTGCGCAGAAAACAGAGTTGCGTGATGCGAAGCTTCGGCGCATGCGCAGTGCCGAAAGCAGCGCCACTGCAGGGACGTGAGGTCGGAGAGTTGAGTTGGTCTATGTATTTTTGCAGCGCTTATCGTCCAGGCTAGAAATGCCGAGTCACGTCTGATATTCTGCACAGGAGGACTACCGCGCATGCTCAGAACGCGTTTCATAGTCTAGTAGTCAAAGATGGTGGCCCGCAGAAGACGATTATTGGAACGATCTTAAGAAGTTATTTCTATTCTCGGTTTTCATTATTTTTACATCCATGTCTTACTCGATGTCTTCGCTAGAAATTGAGGATATGAGCAGCATCGTCTCTGGAGGACCATCATCTGGGATGTGTACCCTTTTCTTTTTCTTATGGATCCAATCTTAAGTTTCATTCGCAAGCATGCTTTCTGCGACTTTCAAAACTCCTCGAAGATCTTGGTAAAAAGTTTAAGATCGACTGTCTTTTTATCTCTGACCTATGTTACGTAGAGCAAGAAGAAAAACAGATGGAGATTGGGAGAGTCAACCCAATGACGAGAACAAAGAAGTAACAGAATACAAAAGGAGTTGTATGTCAGCGCGTGTGTTTGTCCCTTTGTCTGTAGGTGTGTTGATTGATTTTGGCGCTGTTAACCTTAGAATTCAGACAAAAGAAAGGATTTTGTATCGGACCCGGCCTTGCGCAAAATCTGAGTAAAACTTTTCTCCTTGTACGCTGACCGAGCAATCAAAGTTCAACTCGGCGAAATTACTCAAGAACTTAACGTGTTTGTTACGTCGATTACTATATTTCGTTTCAGACGCAGCTGCCGCTACGAGCTAATGGGACCAATCAAGCTGCGTCAAATGCGCAAGTCGCTAGGTCTTGTTTGTGCATGATTGGTTCAGCGACGATAGAACACGTACGGAAACATGACGACCATAATCAAGTCCTGATGCAGCATCAGCTGTGTCAGGAGTTGAAGTGAAACGAAGTATAGCTATGATTATCCACCCAAATTTCGTCTCCTCTAAATCTACTGTGAAGGCTTTTGCATCTTGTTAGTCGTGCCCTACCTCGCGGTTTTCGTCCTTCGAACCACCAACAAAAGAGAGAGAGAGAGAGAGAGAGGAAAGAAATTCCCATAAGCGTATTTTTCGTTTTTCCACCTCTCAGGATTTAGCATAAGAACGGGAACAAGAATGCCTCCTCAAAGCTTGGTGTTCCCGGCTGGGAGTCCTCGAACTTTTCTCGTTCACTTCCGAATATGTGGACATTTTTATAATTTCCAAGGAATAACGTTCTGGGAAGGTGGAAGAACGAACTTGGCCATCAAGTCCTAGTATTCCAAGGCGACCGGTTCCTTGCATTAAAGCCCCATTGATAAAATTCACGTTAGGCGTTTCTTGCAAGAACCGCCGACCATTTGTTGTGGGAACGCGCGGTGCACTGTCACGGGCGAGTGCTCCGCCGCCATTCGCTTCCAAGGGTCGCTCATTTCGGTGCATCGCCGCCATTTGCTTCCAAGGGCCGCACCAGGCACGCGCCTCATGCATTGAACACATTTGACGTTACTTCAAAGACCTAGGGACACTAAATCAGCTATGCTCATTTAGTGGCCACTAAATAAGCGTAGCTTATTTAGTGACTCTAGTAAGACATATAGTATAGTATGGTATAAGACAAACAAACCAAGGGGCTTTATCCTGAATAATGTTCTCGCGCCCTCTCGTACGCTGCATGCAAGGCTCAAATTGCCGTTCAAGAACAATGTGTAGTTTATTTGTATCGCCTCGTTTTCTTGCTTTATTCATTTATATGTATCCTCTTTCTCGTTTTTTTTTTTTCGCTTACTTTGTTTTTTTTTTTTTTTTATTTGGGTAGGGTTCCCGAATTGTGGTGGACATTATTAAATAATAATTTTGCGTGTCAGCGGTGGTAGAGGTGGCAGACTCCTTCGGCAGCTGTAGGAGTTGGGACTTCCAACACCAGCCGCCAGGATCGCGACATCCGACAGCATGACGCGTCCTCGTCTGTGACGTCATTTGTTGCCACTTCGGGACCACTTTTGTTGCATAGCTGGATAAGACGGCGCACAAACCGGTCAAAGACGCGATCCAGGCACCGTCATGCAATTCAGGAGCTCCTGCAAGTGTGGGAGCGCATCTCTAATCCGTGGCGCCCGTTTCCTCCTCAAGACCGTTATGTCTGCCAATATCTTATGACGGTATACATCTGGCTATGACGGTGCTTCCTTGGCATGCGAACCTGCGGCTGTTTTTCCAAAGATACCCCCGCTAAGCTCTGTATTTACGAACGTTTCTTACAGCGTTTCAAGCGGTCTCTGATTCGAAACTGTTTGCGAATGAGTGCTCATTTTAGTGCCGCAGAAACGTGATTTATTGGTATACGGCAAGCGCGCTTTGACCTATTCATTTTTGTTTTTTCCCGTTTTTGTTTTCCTAGTCGGGCGGCCTTGCCAGGAACGAAAGGTAGCATCAAGGTCACGCTTCTGACACCGCCGCTGAGATCTGTTCTCTCACCACGTGGACGCTGGTCGGCTGGACCACCAGAGTGACGTAAGTCAGCCCCGCCTTTTTTTTCGTGTGTGTGCGAAAAATCGCGTGCATAAAAACGTCAAGTTTAATATATTTTTTTATTTCATACATCGCGCATCTGAGACTCTTTAGAACACCAAAATGTACTTAAATGTAATGAAGTTACGGTTAGTTGGGCTTAAGTACAACCTAGAAATACAGTTGCACTTTAAAATTGCTCTAGGCACATTCGTACGATTATACACAAAAACAAAACAAAAAATGACGATGTTATCTTTTAGTTTTAAAACGTATCGCGGCGTTGAGGTGTGCTGCTAAAAGTTCAGTTTTCAACTCGTACACATATTTGTGATACCAGTTGAGCTTAATAGTCAATATAACATTTTCTATTTGAGGACACGGTCTTAAGAGATATATATATAACTGAACTAGTTGATTTTCGTAATTAAGTTACCGTAAATTAACTAGTTTTAACGGTAGCTTAGTAGCAACGCGTAACTAAGGTTACGGAAACGTGATTTTAACTTAGCTTCTAGTTACTGAAATTGTAACATTATGGCAGTAAGGAAATGCTTTTAAACAATTACCTTAAGTTATATCAGCTCCACCCTTACGCTCGCGATGTCTATGCCACGAGGTGGACTGTGGACCAAGGGGGATCGGTGGCCGAGTGGGCTAAAGCGCACACCCAGCTCGACGCACGTGGGGCGAAAGCTCGCGTTGCAGAACCCAAAGATCCTGGGCTCGAGCCCCACCCCTGCCCGTTTCGATCTGGATGAGAATTGTGCCGGCGTGCGGTCGTGCAGCACTACTGCGTGATGCACGTTAAAGACCCCAGGCTAGCAGTCGTACTGCACTGGCGAAATTGCTCATCCACAGTGTAAACCAGTGTCGCCTCTACTGGCAGACCGACTTCACGCTGTATAAATCACAAAAACGTCCAATCTTATTTTGGACGGTGGACCATAGAAGGAACACTGCGGTTTCGGTGTGGTTGCGCTTTAGTGAGTCCGGAGCCAGTAATGCTGTGAGTTTGGCAGGTGCGCGGAACTTATGTCCCGCTACATGCAACGTGTTTTGTCGTATCACAAAATGTCCTCTGTAATATATTAAGGCTTTCACTGTGGATGACACAAAACACAGGCTGTTTGATTTGTTTGATTTCAGTTTCAGGCCCCACTTCAGCCGTTGTTGTTGATTGTTGTTGATTCAGCTCAGACAGCTCAGCCGTTGTTGATGGCCCAACATTACGAAGTTTTGAGCATAAGGTTGCCATGCGGAGAGACATTACTACCGGAATCTCGCGGTGCTCTTCAAAGTGCGCAAAGAGCGGTGCCGTGCTGACGGTACCCTACGGTAATGCTCCGCTAAAAATGCCTATTGACTGCGTACATGTCTGTTGTCAGTCCCAATTTTCTACAAAAAAACAAAACAAAAGAACGATGCAAGTCAAGGACAGGTATCTTGAGCGTTTTTGAATGCGGATATTATTGAATGGCGGCAATTTGGCGAGTGTTGTAAGCGCCCGACGTGTCTCGACATCGGACAAGCACGTGGCCAGAGCCGCCGTCGCCCTCCAAGGCCGTGGAAAAGTGAACTCAGGCGAGGGAGGTATAGCGGTACCCTAGACGAAGCCACGGGATGCCGCCAACTACGTGCGCTAATGTAATGTTTTTTTTCGTTTTTTTTTTTTGCGAGTACAAAAGAAGCGGGCAGTGCGGTGCCAAGGTCTCGGTTGCGCGAGTGTATGTCGGACCATGTGCCAAGTGTAGCGGACCGGACCGACATCGTCACCGCGCGGGAAGAGAACGATCGTAAACATGGCGCGAGTGAAAAAGGAAAGAGATGATTCGTATCCTCTTGCCATGGCGTGGCGGTCGCCGACTCTTTCGAGAAGCGGAAGCCCGATCGTGCGCGGAAATGGGTGGACAAACGGCTCCCTCTGCTACGGAAGCACGCGGTGCTGAAGGCTTTCTGGGAGGCGAACCTTGAAAAAAAATGCTTTTATACGCTCTTCAGGCACAGAAGTGGCTGCCACGCCCCAAGAAAAAGCTAGCATACTAACTTAAACTGTAAACTGCACCTAATATCAGAACTTTTAGACGCGCCCGATCAACTTTGCCATTAAACCCATTAACCTACTAACTCCAGCCACTAAATAATCCTAACATATGTTGTTTGTAACATACTAACTTAATAGACTAACTTAACCCGCTAACTTAACCCGCTAACTTAACCCACTAACTTAACCCGCTAACTTAACCCGCTAACTTAACCCGCTAACTTAACCCGCTAACTTAACCCGCTAACTTAACCCGCTAACTTAACCCGCTAACTTAACCCGCTAACTTAACCCGCTAACTTAACCCGCTAACTTAACCCGCTAACTTAACCCGCTAACTTAACCCGCTAACTTAACCCATGAACTTAATCCCTCAACTTTTCCCGGAATTTAGTCCCGAACATAGTCCCTAACTTAGCCCCTAAGTGGGCCTCTAACTTGGTCCCCTAGCTTGGTCCCCTAACTCTAACCCCTAACTCTAACCCCTAACTCTAACCCCTAACTCTAACCCCTAACTCTAACCCCTAACTCTAACCCCTAACTCTAACCCCTAACTCTAACCCCTAACTCTAACCCCTAACTCTAACCCCTAACTCTAACCCCTAACTCTAACCCCTAACTCTAAGCCCTAACTCTAAGCCCTAACTCTAAGCCCTAACTCTAAGCCCTAACTCTAAGCCCTAACTCTAAGCCCTAACTCTAAGCCCTAACTCTAAGCCCCAACTCTAAGCCCCAACTCTAAGCCCCAACTCTAAGCCCCAACTCTAAGCCCCAACTCTAAGCCCCAACTCTAAGCCCCAACTCTAAGCCCCAACTCTAAGCCCCAACTCTAAGCCCCAACTCTAAGCCCCAACTCTAAGCCCCAACTCTAAGCCCCAACTCTAAGCCCCAACTCTAAGCCCCAACTCTAAGCCCCAACTCTAAGCCCCAACTCTAAGCCCCAACTCTAAGCCCCAACTCTAAGCCCCAACTCTAAGCCCCAACTCTAAGCCCCAACTCTAAGCCCCAACTCTAAGCCCCAACTCTAAGCCCCAACTCTAAGCCCCAACTCTAAGCCCCAACTCTAAGCCCCAACTCTAAGCCCCAACTCTAAGCCCCAACTCTAAGCCCCAACTCTAAGCCCCAACTCTAAGCCCCAACTCTAAGCCCCAACTCTAAGCCCCAACTCTAAGCCCCAACTCTAAGCCCCAACTCTAAGCCCCAACTCTAAGCCCCAACTCTAAGCCCCAACTCTAAGCCCCAACTCTAAGCCCCAACTCTAAGCCCCAACTCTAAGCCCCAACTCTAAGCCCCAACTCTAAGCCCCAACTCTAAGCCCCAACTCTAAGCCCCAACTCTAAGCCCCAACTCTAAGCCCCAACTCTAAGCCCCAACTCTAAGCCCCAACTCTAAGCCCCAACTCTAAGCCCCAACTCTAAGCCCCAACTCTAAGCCCCAACTCTAAGCCCCAACTCTAAGCCCCAACTCTAACCCCTAACTCTAATCCCTAACTCTAATCCCTAACTCTAATCCCTAACTCTAATCCCTAACTCTAATCCCTAACTCTAATCCCTAACTCTAATCCCTAACTCTAATCCCTAACTCTAATCCCTAACTCTAATCCCTAACTCTAATCCCTAACTCTAATCCCTAACTTGGCCTACTAACTCTAACCCCTAACTTGGCCTACTAACTCTAACCCCTAACTTGGCCTACTAACTTGGCCTACTAACTTGGCCTACTAACTTGGCCTACTAACTTGGCCTACTAACTTGGCCTACTAACTTGGCCTACTAACTTGGCCTACTAAATTGGCCTGCCCACTACCTTAGCCCCCTAACTGAATCCGATGAGTCCCCTACCTTTGTCCTCTGAGTTAGTTCACTAACTATCTCACTATTTCGGATCGCTTACTTAACTCGTTCACTTAGCTCACTAACTTCTCACCATTCGCGGAGAACATAAAAGCTGGAAGGGGTCGTGGTTGACCGAAGTACTTCATATTGTATTTGTATTTGTCTACATTGCTATCTTTTACTACGAAAACCGTTGTTCCTTGGGTGACGTCGTCGCTCGTCTTCACATGTAACAACAATTCGCGAACTGCAGAAGGAACCGCAGAATATCCCGTGAGTCGCTAACTCGCAGAAGGAACCGCCGTGCACCTGCTCATGTTGATAATAAAACCTATAAAGTGTCGTTTCGAGGTACAGAAAGGAAGTGTCGTAAAACTTTCGGTGTAATCTTGGCGGAAATTCAACCCCTCCTATCGTATATCATTCTGCAAGAGGCCATTTGACCCGAGGGTGACGTTTCTTCTTGCACATAATTCTCTTTTTTTCTACCTTAGTTCCTGGGGTTTACAGGAACCTTTTTATTTGTTTGGGTTTCCATACCACTGGGACCGAGCTAGGATTACGTCACGGCCATAGTTGGATGTAAGAACTTATGGAGACCTGAGGGTCACTGGAAGACGGGCACGTTTGCAAGTACGGCCTTTGGTGCCGCCATCTTGGTACTGGTGTGTGCAGATCGTCTGATAGCTAAGTCTGGATAAATGGATAGATAGATAGATGTTAACGGCTGTAACTTTTTATAACGGACGATAGCTTACGTCAATTAGCTTGAAACAAAAACACACGACCCCCCCCCCCCCCGCGACACACACACACTGCATTTCTAACGCAATTTTTCTACCCCTCTGCATTTTCGTAACTACAGTATCACCAGGCTGTGTGAGATATCGCCAGCATGATGTTGCTAAGACTTGCTCAAGGTCGCCAACAAAGCGTTTTCCTCCCACTGTGACCAGACTATAGCTTCCAAAGCGTTGTTGCTTTGTTGCTTGCAAACGCATATATAAGCATTGAGCAATAAGTAACTTGTCATAATATGAATATGTATTTTACAAATTTACATTTGGTTATTGGAGAAACCGATGCGCATTCATCTCAATCAATTTCCTTAGTGGTGCTCATGA